GGGGGGGGCTACAGGGTTCTATAGGTGTAAGGGCTGGCCGGTGTTGTCTGTGCACACGTGCACAGCTTTATGCACACAGGTGTGTGGGTGTTTCTGGCTGGGGTGTGTGTCTCTGCGCACATGGGAGGGTAGTTCAGGTGTGTGCCGGTGTGCCGGTAATATATACATGTGTATAACGTGCATATGTATACGTGCATGTGTGTATATGTGCTGTTAGAGCTGTGTGGGTGTGTAGGTGCACACAAGCTGATACCTGTGTGTGTGTGTGTGTGTGTGTATATGCACACACATCCGTGCCTGTGCATGGAAGGGGAGTGTGGGGCATGTGTGTATGTATAGATGTGCTTGTACATGTGCACATATGTACATGCACAATGGTATTAACACGAGTATTATGCATGTGTGCTGGGGGGGATATGTGTGTGTGTGTACCTGTGGTGGTGCTTTTATGTGTGTGTGTGTGTACCTGTGCTGGTGCTCTGGGTGCCTGTGCTGCTACTGTGTCTGTGTGTGTGTGTGTACATACCTATATGTGTGCTGGCACTGTGTGTGTGTGTGTGTGCGTACGTACCTGTGCCAGTGCTTTTATGTGTGTGTGTGTGTGTACCTGTGCTGGTGCTCTGGGTGCCTGTGCTGATACTGTGTGTGTGTGTGTGTGTGTGTGTACAGGTGTTTTCAGTGTGTATAGAGATGCATATATACATGTGTATATGTACAATTGTTCTCTGTGTGTATATAGATGTGTGTGTGTATACATACAGGTGTTCTCTGTGTGTATATGGATGCATATATGTGTGTGTATACATACAGGTGTTCTCTGTGTGTGTACAGCTGTACGTGTGTGTGCTGGTACTGTGCATGCACACATGTACATATATGTCTTTATATATATATATATATATGCTGCATCTTTAAGGGGGGGTGTGGTGTAGATACGCGTGTGCTGACGCTCTGTGTGTGTGTGTCTGTGCGTGCACACACATGTGCGAGCGCCCTGGGTGCCGGTGCATGTGTGGGCACCCTGTGCATGCTCCTGCTTTTTGGGTGAGGGGGTGGGCGCACACACACACACACACACACACACA